CATCATCATTATCTCCCCTGCAAACACTATCGCAACCACCATCATCATTGCTGTTAACTCCATCATCATCAAGATCAACACCATCATCGTCACCATCACCACCACCACTACCAACAACAACAACCGGCATTCGCCACTAAGTGACGGAGACGTCACCACGGCGCCTGTGCCAGGCTAGGTGCACTTTAAGGCCACGTGACGTGTCGAACGTCCGCTGACAAGAGGTCACGGGACAGACCCAGGTCGACTGAATGAAATAACTGGCCGACCACCATCACCACCACCACCACCACCACAACTCCATCACACTACGTGTCTCTGTCTCCACGCTGCTAAGAACGTTTCGAGGAAACACGCCAATACTCCTGACAGCATCATTAGCCTCGATCTACCCACTGCTTGGTGAAGTCCTTTGCCATCTCTCACAGTCTCACAATGCAGCAATCCAACGAGCTGCCGAGCAGGAGGCGCTGTCGTCTCCCCCCCCCCCCCCTTCAGCCGCTGCCCCTCCTTTGGCTGTCATTCCATCATTCGTCTCTACCACCGGCCACCGTTCCTGCCCGAGCCCACTCGGCGTTCGTCCCCAGCGGTCAACGTCGACGCTTTAAACGCCGTGCGTTTATTCATCCGCGTGTTACCTCTTCCCGTGGACGACACTGGCGACGGACTCCGGCAGTCGAATGACAAAGACAAAGATCCCCCGTATAGCCTTAACAGACTGTTGGGGCAAGCGCTGTTAGCGAGCAGTCGAATGAGGGCACACAACAACAACCGCAATTCGCCACTAATCGGCGGTGACGTCACTACGGCGTGTGCGCCAGGCTATGTGCACGTTGTGGGCAAACAACAACAACTGCCATTCGCCACTAAGTGGCGGTGACGTCACCACGACGCTTGTGCCAGGCCATGTGCATCTTGAGGCGACGTGAAGTGTCGAACGCCTGCGGGCAGGAGGTCACGGGGCAGACCCAGGTGCCACGGGCCGACTGACTGAGATGACTGGCTGATGCACCACCTGTGCCCCCTACTGTGCCAACCTGCTGTGCTTTAGCCACCCGGCGCTCCGCTCGTTGTTGTGAGCGTCGCTCCTCCGCTCTCCGTTGTTGTTGGAGGGCGACTGCCTCCAACTGTCCAGTAGCGTCCTTCACGAGCCTCCTCCACAGAGGCCGATCTTGACACCGCTGGTACCAGTCATCGGCAAGTCCAGTCACCTCCACGTCCTCCTGTACCACATCACTCCATCTCTTCTCTAGCCCGTGCCGCGCCCGTTTAGCCCCCTTGATCCGGCCGAACAAAAGCTGTTTCGGCATGCGGTGGCTGGGCATGCGGGCTACATGACCCAGCCAACGCAGCCTTGCCTGCCGGAGGAGCTCACTGATGGGACCCTGCCCAGATCTTTCAAGGATTTGTGAGCTCCTCACACAATCCAGTCTGGTTAAACCCAAATGGATCGTAGGCAGGCTAGCCTAAATGTTTCTAACCGGCGAAGATGCTCCATTAAGGGGGTCCACGTTTCGCAAGCGTAGAGAAGGGAGGGAATGACCGTGGCCGAGAAGACCTGAAGCTTAGTGCGGAGCGACAGACCAGGTAGCTTCCACACAGCGTTACGCAACCGATGAAAATATATTGCCGCTCGACTGATTCGGAGTGAGACCTCTGCTGTTAAACTGGAGCCGATCATAAGCACACTGCCCAGGTATGGGAAACTCTCCACTCTCTCCACAACTGCCCCATCACCGATTGGAAGTTGTGGGGGTGGAGTGTCCGATGGTACAAAATACCCAGGCAGGTGCTTAGTTTTGGTGGGGCTGATGGTAAGGCCCCATCTCTTAGTGGCACGCTCAAGTCTCAGCAGCAGCGTCTCCAACTCCTCCTCTGAATGAGCAGCCATTACCAAATCTTCGGCATACATAACGTGGTTGAGAAATAGGGAGCCATCCCTTGACCGCACCCGGGCATCGATCAGCCTCCCATTATATCTGTACCAAATGGAGATTCCCCCGGTACAGCTATTGAAGGCTTCACGAACTACGTGGTCAAGAAATATGTTAAATAATGCACCCCAAGGTGTACAGGCGTACAGGGAATGGCTCTTACTCCCGGCCACGTAGTTTTACCCGGGCCCGCTCACCATCATGAAGGTCCTTAATGATCGTGAGCAGGGGGTCAGGGACTCCAAAAGCACGAAGAACAACCCAGAGCCCAGGCCTACTGGTGGTATTATAGGCCTTGACCAGGTCAATAAAGCAGAGATGTAGGTCTTGTTGGAATTCCCTATACTTCTGCTGTAGCAGACGGACAGAAAATATGACATCTGTGCAGGACCGCCCTTTCCTGAAACCGCATTGGGGCTCCACAAGCCTCTCCTCAGCGTGCCTGGCAAGGCGATGTTGAATAATCCTTGCCAGGACCTTTCCTGGCACACTGAGGAGTGAGATGCCCCTGTAGTTATTACAGTCTGTGCGGTCCCCCTTCTTAAAGAGGGGGACCACCAGGGCATCCTTCCAATCCTACGGAACCCGTCCAGTGGTCCAGACTGTTGTTATGATGTCATATAGGGCAGTCTGTGCACAAACTCCACCCTCCCTCAGCATTTCGCTTGGGAGATCATCTCTGCCCGGTGCCTTTCCTGGTCTCAGACTCCAGATCGCCTTCAGTACTTCCTCAACAGATGGCACCTTAGCCAACCACTCACAGGGGGTGACTTCTTCCAATATTTGAGGCACCGCAGCCTCAGCAGGGTCATCCCCACTTTGTGCCACGATGTTTTCCTGGATGAGGGGTTTCCCCTCCCCAAGGACCTCACAGAAATGCTCAGCAAATCTGCAAACCTGTTCCTGGGGGTCGGAGATTGGATCACCGTTTTCTCCCCTAATGATGGTAATAGGTGTGGCGCTGCAGGTTACTTTTTTGATGGAGTTAAATAGAGATTTGTGATCGCAGACCAATGAGGCAGACTCCATCTCCTCAGCAACCCGCGACCACCACCCATCCTTGCAGCGCCTCACGGCTCTCTGAACCTCCGAGCGAAGGCTGCAGTAAGCCTCCTCATTCTCTGACGTGGGATTCTGTAGCCGATGACAGTGGGCCTGTCGCTTTTTCTCAACTATCCTGAACACCTCTTCTGTCAGCCAGGGTCTCTGGAGAGGTCTGGACCGCGTACCCAAAGCAGCCATTGCAGCTGCATGAGTCACAGTCCTAAACCTCGCCCATTTACCCTCGACATCAGGAGGAGTGGGGGACAATGCCAACCCCAGCCGCAAGCGATGATAAAATTCTTGCTTGCAACTTTCATCAGCTAACTGAGACCAGGCCACTTTAGGTAGGAATGGGGTCCTGGGTGTACACCCACCACCGGAGTGGAAGAATGTCAGGCGCATCTTACAGATGACTATTCGATGGTTAGAGGGCAGATCAGCTCCACGGAAGGTCCTGGTGTCAAGGACATGGGCTTACATCCGCTGGTCCGTCACTATGTAGTCCAGCAGATGTTTTTGCTTGGACCCGGCATGCATCCATGATGTTGTGTGGATGCGCCGATGCCGGAACAGAGTGTTTGTAATTATAAGCACATGGGCTGCACAAAAATCTAGCAGCCTCCTACCGATGTTATTGAGCTGATCTGGTCCATGCCCTCCAATCACTCCAGACCAGGTGCCAGCATCATGACCAACTCGGGCATTGAAGTCACCCAACAAGATGACTCTATCCCGAGGGGCCACTTTATCCAGCACCTGTAACAGGAAGTCATAGAAGGCATCTGACTCACCGGCTTTGCCTGCATCCCTCCACGGATGTTCGTCTTCGGTGGGGCATAAGTAACCACGACCACCATTCCTCGCCTCCGGTTGATGGGAAGGCGAGCCCAAAGTAGCCTGGGGCTTACAGCTTCCCACACCTCACCGCCACGCTCCCACGCACCCTTCATTCTTTTGTTCAAAAGAAGAGCCACACCCTGTTGTTTGGCAGTCTGCTGCCCCGAGTAGAGGACTGTCCACCCCTCATGGTGGCAGGAGCCAGAACCGGTCCACCGGAGCTCCTGAATGCCACAGAGATCCAGGCGGTACCGGTCCAGCTCCCGACAGAGGGGTGGTAGCCTCTCCTCCGCAGTGAGCGTTCGAACATTCCACGTGGCCACACGAAGAAGGCTTTTCGTTGTGTCTGGAGGAGCCCCGAGGGTAGAGATTCAATCTCCTGGCTTTGCCAATTGGGGTTTGGCCAGGAGACGTCATAGACGCCTGTTCCTTCAGGGCCTCCGGCACAAGCTTATTAGTTATATATTTAAGTCGTGGTATTTTTTTTAAGGTGGAGGGGTTGCCAGCCCCTCGCACCCGTCCAGAGCCCCCGCTTAGCCAATGTGGTGGTCACAGACGCCATGAGGGGAGAGGCCAATCGGAATTGGCCCTCTCCTCACAGCACTGTCCATGCCAGAGTTGTGTGGGCACATACACACACTCACTCGCGATGGAGGGATGGGGGCGAGGTGGACCGTGACGGACGGAGACGGCCAACGGAGAGCTTCGACCCGTTCCTTTTCGTCGTTCGGGACGACGCCCGACGTTATCGCTCCACGTGCCGGGAGCTTCTTCGGGAGCTGAATTGTCGACGATAACTTCCCAACACGTGGCAGGAACGTCGAACATTGTGCCGCACGCAACACAGGGGCTGAATTCCTGAAGTGGGTCTCAGCACGTGGAGAGGAACGTCGGACGTCGTGCCGAGCAATGCTCGGTGCACCGTGACAACACATCGACGAGCCGCGTTCCGCGGTAAACAGTCAGGCAAAATATGTCTCCGTGCACGTGTCCACACAACCCGTCACCAGCCGCACAGGCCTTCCTTCCGGGAGTGTGTTCCTCTCGGCAGCATCGATTCGGACCGGTTTCGACACGTGGCCGCCCCGCCAGCAAAGTGAGGCTTGGCTTCAATCAACTCTGGTCAACTGCCCACCCCGTACGCGCTAGGACCCTCCCTTCCCCCTTACATCGACGGGGTCACATTCACAGGTTTATTATTTTTTGTAAAAAAAAAGAGTCACGTCCCACGGTGTCGTGGCATCGCTGCGACCTCACCGCGGCCCTACCTTGCTCGCACCTGCGGCCGCTCCACCCGCGGCTGCACGAGCACCGGTACCCCTCGGGCACGGCGCTGCACGTGGCACCGTGGGCGCATGGCTCGTGACGGCGGCACCAGTCCACGTCCACTGCGCCAGGGATAAGGCGGAAGGAGGAGGAGGGGCAGACGGAGAGGGGAAAGATGGGGAGGGATGGGGAGGGAAACGGGGAAGGAGGTGGGGAGGTGAGAGAATGCTCTGTCGCGGGGAACATGCGGCCACGCCAGGCCCAGTTCGCACGGCACCCTTCCCCACGGTTGTGAAAACACCGGCATGGCAAATAAGTCAGATATAGTTATGTGTTGATGTATGAAGGCAAGTGTGGAGGTATGCAAGTTGATGAATGACTACAGGTATCTATGGAGGCGTGCAGTAAAATATGTATGTAGGCATCTTAAGAGGTATGTATGGAGAGGTGCCTCTGACCGAACCCCTCGGAATGCGACCGATCTCACCAGCTGTGGAGGGGTGAGCACGGATAGCTGTTGATTGGGCGTACAGCATGCACAGCAGGTGTTGTCGACTGCGGGTTCACGCGATGAGCAGCAGAGCGCAGATCATGCTCTCCCTACCGTTACCGGTGTGGTGAAGTATGGCCAAATAACCCCAGGACCCGCACAATTGCGGGAGGGAGGCCCTCTCCTCCAGCAGTGGACGGGCACAGGGGCTGCGCGTGCGCGCAGGGACGAGTGCCACTCGCGCTGGTAGCGACTTCACAGATTTCTGATGCGGACCCACGGATCCGGCGAAGACATCTCCATTGGGCGCCCTTAGCCCTGCAACTGTTGCGCAGCGCTGCTGTGATGGCGGAGCGGGCGAACGGGGCTGTGTGACGGCGTGTGTGTGTGTGTGTGGGGGGTATGGTTTAGAGTGGGCCCAGGTTACTGGGGGTTCCCGAGCCCACTCACCCGAGAACTTGACCGTGAAGCCCCCGTAGCCCGTTGACTCGTCGCTCTGGAAGGCCACGAGGGTCTGGCCGCGTCCCTCCAGCAGGGTCCCCTCAGCCCCCGCCCTGGGGATCCCCAGCCCCAGCTGGGTGCGGCCGCAGAAGACCCGCTCGGGCTGCCCGCCCGGCTTGAGGGTGAGGCGGTCGTAGGCGCAGCCCTGCTCCTCCTCCACGTCCAGGTAGGTGAGTAGCAACCTCACCTGTGCAAAGCCGAGCCACTGGGGTTCACGTGTCGACAAAGGCAACGATCTCTCCCCCCCCCCCACCACCACCGTGTAGCCGAGGCAGGCTGATGATGGGGCAAGTGGTTTTACTGTTTGATGAAGGCACGACAGTCTGTTCGTGCGGTCATTAGAACACCGGGCTGAGATCGTCCAACCAAGCGCGCTCGAGCACGTGATTTACTCGCAGGGCGGCTGAAGTCCAGAGTCGGGTCCGAGTTGTGATTGGTGACCGGGCTGAAGGTCAAGATTCAAGTGTGCTCTGTCGAACCGGGTGAGAACTTTGGGGGACCAGGATCGGGGGTGTGAGAGTGATCTGGGGGTCACCCCCAACGCCCCCCCCCCCCCCCCCGTACGAGTGGTGGGTTTTCTCCGGCTTCTTAAATTTCCTCTAACACAGAGTCACAACTCTCACGAATGGAATTGGACAAACACTGCACTAGAGCAGGGCCCACCTGGGGATTAAGCGAGGCTCAGTGAGGCTATACCGCGTAAAGGGGATTTGCCGAGTTTTTTTTTAATTGAAGTGAAGTAAAACCGGTGTCCGAGTTACTTGCCTCGCCAGAACTGTGCCGCACTCTTCAAACGTTTCACGAGCTCCTTCGTGACACGGAGACGCAGCAGCGTCCTGGATTCACTGCTCCGTTGGCTGTGCAGCCACCCACCTCTCGGCTCCACCTCGCAGTCCGAGCTCCAAACCTCCGACAGCCAATTGTGCCACGTGCAGCCTCCCAACTGAACTACCGAGCAACCGGACTCAACGCGCGCTTGGCTTTCGAGATCTGACAAAGTCGGGGCGCATCCGCGGGGGTGACCAGAAACGAGTCACTCGCCTCCTCCCCCCCTCTCCCTCCTTAGCCCCTTGCCCCCCGGTCGGGTTCCCGTGACCCCTGACGGGGGAGGGATTGTGGGTGGGGTGCGCTCACGTACGCGTTCGGAGGGCAGCGCGCGGATGAACCAGGTGCAGCGCGCGTTGTCCGGGTAGTTGTGCAGGGAGATGGAGCCGTGAGGCTGCGCGCCAGGGTCGATGGACGCGTCGCACTCCGAGCGAACGCCTTTTCCCAGCAGCCATGCGGAGCCGCGCGGTGAGACGGGGAGGAGACGCATGGAGATACGGGGAGGAGACACGCGGAGACACATGAAGACACGGGGAGGGGACACGCGGAGACACGGGGAGGAGATACGGGAAGAAGACACGCGGAGACACATGGAGACACGGGGAGATACGGGGAGGAGACACATGGAGACACATGGAGATACGGGGAAGAGACATGCGGAGACACGGGGAGGAGACACGCGGAGACACATAGAGACATAGGGAGGAGACACAGGGAGACATAGGGAGGAGACACAGGGAGGAGACACGCGGAGGAGACATTCGGCAATGTTGGGCCACACATGGAGACGCAGCCACGCATCGGCACGTGGACGATGCCCGCGCGCTGCGCAGGGCGCCTTGCGAAGAGCAGGCGGCACGGCACGCCGCGTGTTGGACAATCACCGCTCAAAGCCCAAACGCCACAACCCGCCGAGTTCTCAGATCGATTCCGCTGCAATTTGAATCGCCCGCTCACCTACCGCGATGAACGCTAACGGGGAAGCGTGCTGCGCGTATTGTCAATCACACGCCACTCCCGCCAGTGCCCCCCCCCCCCCCCATGCGTTATGCCCCTCACCCCCACAACATCTCTGTGTGTGTCTCTCTCCGTGTCGTTGTTCGTGTCCGTCTCCATGTTTTCGTTGCGTATCGGGCACTCTGCGTGTCTCTGTCTGTCTTCTTGACTCTGCGTGTCTCTGTCTGTCTTATTGACTCTGTGTGTCTCTGTCTTATTGACTCTGCGTGTCTCTGTCTGTTTTCTTGACTCTGTGTGTCTGTCTTATTGACTCTGTGTGTCTCTGTCTTCTTGACTCTGTGTGTCTCTCTGTCTTATTGACTCTGCGTGTCTCTGTCTGTTTTCTTGACTCTGTGTGTCTCTGTCTTATTGACTCTGTGTGTCTTTGTCTTATTGACTCTGTGTGTCTCTGTCTGTCTTATTGACTCTGTGTGTCTCTGTCTGTCTTATTGACTCTGTGTGTCTCTGTCTGTCTTATTGACTCTGTGTGTCTCTGTCTTCTTGACTCTGTGTGTCTCTGTCTGTCTTATTGACTCTGTGTGTCTCTGTCTTATTGACTCTGTGTGTCTCTGTCTTATTGACTCTCTGTGTCTCTGTCTTATTGACTCTGTGTGTCTCTGTCTTATTGACTCTCTGTGTCTCTGTCTTATTGACTCTGTGTGTCTCTGTCTTCTTGACTCTGCGTGTCTCTGTTTTCTTGACTCTGCGTGTCTCTGTCTGTCTTATTGACTCTGCGTGTCTCTGTCTTATTGACTTTGTGTCTCTGTCTTATTGACTCTGTGTGTCTCTGTCTGTCTTATTGACTCTGTGTATCTCTGTCTTCTTGACTATGTGTGTCTCTGTCTAATTGACTCTGCGTGTCTCTGTCTTCTTGACTCTGCGTGTCTCTGTCTTATTGACTCTGTGTATCTCTGTCTTATTGACTCTGTGTGTCTCTGTCTTATTGACTCTGTGTCTCTGTCTGTCTTATTGACTCTGTGTGTCTCTGTCTTATTGAGTCTGTGTGTCCTCTATGTCTCTCTTTGTGAGCCCACTTCTGGTAAGTACCAAATCCAACGATCCCTCGTGTAGCCTTTAACAGGCTGTTGAGGGCAAGTGCTGTTAACCTATGAAGGCCGACACGGCACACGAGGAGGTGGGTGACCGACACCACGCCGGGCCGCCTTTGTCTCTCGAGTGGCGAAGTTGGTACCACCTGGGATGACGAATGCTACCAGTGTCCACCACGGCCAGTGTCCACCATGGACAGAGAGCTCAGCGTACATAATTTCACTTCAACAAAAACAATACGAATGGTTTATGTTCGTAATCATATCCTATTACTTTATTTTGCGAAAACAATACCGTATATTCTATCAAACACGCTAGAGCGCCCTTTAAATTGCGTTTTTTCTCATAAGAAGCTACCACGACGTCCTTGCTATCATCTATATTTATGATATATAGCTCATGTTCTTAAACACAATAGGGGTTGGCATTTGCCACCCTAGATGGTACCGATGATCCATTTTCGGGCCAATGTATCAAAAGACCAAATAAACCCGCACGTGTGCCCGGGATGGTAAGTCCATGAGCACAGGGCAGGCATTTAACTTGTCGGTACCACTTGAGGTGGCATAACTTTGGCGGTTCCAACTGGCTTTCACGTGGCCGATTACAGTGGAATGAATCATGTGAAATTGTCGGACTAACACGTAATGTCATCTTATTGGCCACAGTGCACTCGTAGGCACGCGAGGCGGTGCGTTCGACGCCTGCTTCTAACTCGTAGACTTCCACAGGCTCTAAGCTCTGAGCCTTGAGTAACGGGTCCCTCGTGGGGGGAGTGGAACCAAGGGCGGATGCGTGGGGTGTGGGGTGCGGGGAGAGAATTCCTCCCTCCTCCTCTCACTCCCCGGGGCGAGCCCTCGTGTAAACACCACCGTGTATCTGTGTGTGTGTCTGTGTGTCTGTGTGTGTGTGTCTGTGTGTCTGTGTGTGTCTGTGTGTGTGTGTCTGTGTGTGTGTGTGTACTGTGTGTGTGTGTCTGTGTGTGTGTCTGTGTGTGTGTCTGTGTGTGTGTGTCTGTGTGTGTCTGTGTCTGTGTGTGTGTCTGTGTGTGTGTCTGTGTGTGTGTCTGTGTGTGTGTCTGTGTGTGTGTCTGTGTGTGTGTCTGTGTGTGTGTCTGTGTGTGTGTCTGTGTGTGTGTCTGTGTGTGTGTCTGTGTGTGTGTCTGTGTGTGTGTCTGTGTGTCTGTGTGTGTGTGTCTGTGTGTGTGTATCTGTGTCTGTGTGTATCTGTGTGTGTGTGTATCTGTGTGTGTGTCTGTGTGTGTATCTGTGTGTGTGTCTGTGTGTGTGTCTGTGTGTGTCTGTGTGTGTGTATCTGTGTGTGTGTCTGTGTGTGTATGTGTGTCTGTGTGTGTGTCTGTGTGTCTGTGTCTGTGTGTCTGTGTATCTGTGTGTGTGTGTCTGTGTATCTGTGTGTATCTGTGTGTATCTGTGTCTGTGTGTCTGTGTATCTGTGTGTGTGTCTGTGTGTGTATGTGTGTCTGTGTATCTGTGTGTGTGTGTGTGTCTGTGTGTGTGTGTGTCTGTGTGTGTGTGTATCTGTGTCTGTGTGTCTGTGTGTGTATGTGTGTCTGTGTGTGTGTCTGTGTGTCTGTGTCTGTGTGTCTGTGTATCTGTGTGTGTGTCTCTGTGTGTGTGTATCTGTGTGTGTGTCTGTGTGTGTGTCTGTGTGTGTGTGTCTGTGTGTGTCTGTGTGTATGTGTCTGTGTGTGTGTCTGTGTGTGTGTCTGTGTGTGTGTCTGTGTGTGTGTATCTGTGTGTGTGTATCTGTGTGTGTATCTGTGTGTGTATCTGTGTGTGTATCTGTGTATCTGTGTGTGTATCTGTGTGTGTATCTGTGTGTGTGTCTGTGTGTGTGTATCTGTGTGTGTGTATCTCTGTGTGTGTGTCTGTGTGTGTATCTGTGTGTGTGTCTCTGTGTGCGTCCTGGAGGTGCTTGTGGGGAACGATAGTGTAGCGGTTAGCGCGCTGCGCTATGAACCTGGCGACCCGGGTTCGATTCCCGCTCACGGCCAACACCAGTGACGATTATCTGAACCGGTCCCGGGCCCCCCCCCCCCCCCCCAGGTCGACTCAGCCTCAAATGAGTACCTGGTGCGGTGTGTAAACATCGCTACTGGGAGACAAAGGCGGCCGGGCGTGGTGTTGGCCACCCACCCCCTCGTGTGCCGTGCCGGCCTTCATAGGTACTCGCTAACAGCACTTGCCCCTACAGTCTGTTTCTGATCCAAAAATGGAGGGACGAATGGCTGGACGTTATCGGTTATGTTGTTGACTTTTGAAATACAGATTTCAATCCAGCAACAACAATGATCGGGGCCTCTGTAACAAAGACTGAGATCTCCCGTAAACCCTCGTATGGATTGCTGGGGCAAGTGCTGTCAGCCAACACCTAATGAATTAGTAATGAATTAGTAATTAATTAGTAAGGCCGGCGCGCACAGTAAGGGGGTTGTTGCCAGCACTGCGCTCATCCGCCTTTTTCTCCCCAGCGCAGATATTTACACTCCGCAGCAGATACCCGTTAAGGCTGAGTCGACCTAGGTGAAGCCCGGTTCAGGTAGGTATCACTCCCCGAACGATTGTTAGTCGTGGCCGGGAATTGTGCTCAGGCCGCTAGCCGGATTCGTTGCGCAGTGCGCTTATCACTGCACCACCGCTCCCCCGCGGTCTATAAGACAAAGCTCCCCCGTGTCGCCTTAACAAACTGAAGGTCGGAACGGCACACGAGGTGGTGGGTAGCCAGCACATCGCCCGGCCGTTTGTGTCTCTCCAATATGCGATGTTTGGCCTAACTGGACATGTGTGAAAAAGAGCTTTTTAGCTCATCGGATACCCTCCAGTATAAATATAAAACCATCCTGCTTCTGGTTAACAATCACTGAACAGCGCGCGCGCACCGAGTGTGGCGCGCGCGTCACGAGGTCACTGCCGAGGCTGCGCGCTACGTTTGGACAAGCGCACGTGACCACTCTTGTGCACTTCACTCGCAAGCAAGCTGCGACTATCCTGCGAGATGCTCTTCAGTACCTCGCCTCGGCACTGTGGTGTTGTTGTGTCTCTTAAATCCACATTGATAACTCAATTCTTTTAGAACCGCTGCCTTTTTTTAGTGTTCCGTTTGTTGTTCTTCCCCCGCAACTCCGATTTTAGCAGCACGGTTGGCTACGCACGGCGCGAATGAAGTTCAACGTACATCTCAAGCCTGTCGCGAAATCATTTAAACCGCGGCTCAAAGCAAAAGCAATTGGCACTCGGCGTCCGCGCTGGGAGAAGACAATCGCGCGTCACGAGTTTGTGTTTTGCATCCAGCAGGTAGAAGGACGCCTCTCAACAATAACAACAACAATAACAACAACAACAATAACAACGACACAGGGTGCCTGCCAATCCATAACCAGTGTCTCGCGGGCCTCACACGGCCGCTGTCGAGACGCTGATGGGCGGTCCAGTGGTTTGCTTGTGGAAAACGGAGGCTGCTTTTGCTCGATGATACTGCCCTCGAAAGCCAACCGAACGATCAATCAATCGCTCACTCGGCTGATGGACTAACAGTCTGCCTCAGCAGCAGACCATGCTTTCCCACCTCATCACGGATGCTTATGTTGCGCCGGAAACGTCGTGATTTATTTTATTTTATACCTACGTGACTTTACCGAAATAACCAAAGAGTATGGGATTCCTGCAGTCACGAAAGCTTCAAATCAAGATATTCACCAACAGTAGCCGCAGAGGTAAGAAGGGGTCGCTGAGTCTTCGGGGAAAGTCTCTCCATCACCGTCGCGGTCAACGCCCCCCCCCCCCCCCCCACATTCACTCCTAACCCAGCCACATCCACACAGAGGGGACCCCCCCACACCCGGAGCCCCCACACAGAGGGGACCCCCCCCAGCGACGCGAAGTGCCCTCACCTTCTCTGTGGGCACACGCGAGCAGAGCGAACAGCAGCGCCGAGATCCGCGCTGCCATGGTGATCTCTCTTCTCTCCTCTCTCTTCAACTCTCAGCCACTCTAACCGATTACACTCTCCTCACGCTCTCCACTCTCCCGTCTCTCTACAACCACCACCCCCCCCTCTCCTCTCTGCGCTCTCCACGGCACAGAGCGAGGCGGGGATGTGTGCGTGTGAGCGCGGCCGCGAGCCCGCGCGCGTGGCGACACCTCGCTTCTCCCTGCCCTCCCTCTTCCCGTATCCTTCACCTCTTCTTCCTCCTCCTCCTTTTCCTACCGCCACCCATCCCCCGCACCCAGTCCCACCTCCCTACCCACCTCCCCCAGACGCTCTGTGTAGGAAGCGGGATCACTGTGTGTGTTTCCGCACGTGTGACTAACTCGTGACCGGGCCGTTCAGGATGCGAGAGCTCGGGGCCAAATGTTTTGGACCGGGAGGTTCGCGTCGCAGCCTACAGAAGCAGCGGCGTTTTGTCGTTCGGACTCATCGGCAGCACGGAACGACAAGCGTCCAGCAACAAACGGCGCTCGTGGAGGTGCACTGGATAAGAGTGAATGCAGGAATCCATACTCTTTGGTTCTTTCGGTAAAGTCACGTGGGTAGAAAATAAAATAAATCACGACGTTTCGATCGCAACACAAGCGACCGTCATCAGGTGGAACAGATCCAGCAGGAGAACCGCTGATGTAGTCAAAGAGACGGCTTCTTTTAAGTGAGCCGAGGTGACTGCGATGAGTGCGAGGGAAAAGGAGATCGATGGGAGGGCGGAATTCCAAAGTTGGAGCGGAGCGGGGGCGGACGCGAGAAGTAAAGTTTCATGATCTGCAGTGTGGGGAGCGAGAGGGTGGGTGTGGGGAGCGAGAGGGTGAGCGTGGGGAGCGAGGGGGTGCGTGTGGGGAGCGAGTGGGTGCGTGTGGGGAGCGAGAGGGTGAGCGTGTGGGGAGCGAGGGGGTGCGTGTGGGGAGCGAGAGGGTGGGTGTGGGGAGCGAGTGGGTGAGCGTGGGGAGCGAGTGGGTGAGCGTGGGGAGCGAGTGGGTGCGTGTGGGGAGCGAGTGGGTGCGTGTGGGGAGCGAGTGGGTGAGCGTGGGGAGCGAGTGGGTGCGTGTGGGGAGCGATTGGGTGAGCGTGGGGAGCGAGTGGGTGAGCGTGGGGAGCGAGTGGGTGCGTGTGGGGAGCGAGTGGGTGAGCGTGGGGAGCGAGTGGGTGCGTGTGGGGAGCGAGTGGGTGAGCGTGGGGAGCGAGAGGGTGAGCGTGGGGAGCGAGTGGGTGCGTGTGGGGAGCGAGTGGGTGAGCGTGGGGAGCGAGAGGGTGAGTGTGGGGAGCGAGAGGGTGAGTGTGGGGAGCGAGAGGGTGAGTGTGGGGAGCGAGTGGGTGAGCGTGGGGAGCGAGAGGGTGAGCGTGGGGAGCGAGTGGGTGAGCGTGGGGAGCGAGAGGGTGAGTGTGGGGAGCGAGAGGGTGAGTGTGGGGAGCGAGAGGGTGAGTGTGGGGAGCGAGTGGGTGAGCGTGGGGAGCGAGAGGGTGAGCGTGGGGAGCGAGTGGGTGCGTGTGGGGAGCGAGTGGGGGCGTGTGGGGAGCGAGTGGGTGCGTGTGGGGAGCGAGTGGGTGAGCGTGGGGAGCGAGTGGGTGCGTGTGGGGAGCGAGTGGGTGCGTGTGGGGAGCGAGTGGGTGCGTGTGGGGAGCGAGTGGGTGCGTGTGGGGAGCGAGTGGGTGCGTGTGGGGAGCGAGTGGGTGCGTGTGGGGAGCGAGTGGGTGAGCGTGGGGAGCGAGTGGGTGAGCGTGGGGAGCGAGAGGGTGCGTGTGGGGAGCGAGAGGGTGCGTGTGGGGAGCGAGTGGGTGCGTGTGGGGAGCGAGTGGGTGCGTGTGGGGAGCGAGTGGGTGCGTGTGGGGAGCGAGTGGGTGCGTGTGGGGAGCGAGTGGGTGCGTGTGGGGAGCGAGTGGGCGCGTGTGGGGAGCGAGTGGGTGCGTGTGGGGAGCGAGTGGGTGAGCGTGGGGAGCGAGAGGGTGCGTGTGGGGAGCGAGTGGGTGCGTGTGGGGAGCGAGTGGGCGCGTGTGGGGAGCGAGTGGGTGCGTGTGGGGAGCGAGTGGGTGCGTGTGTGGAGCGGCAGTGTAGCGGTTAGCGCGCTGCGCTACGATACCCGGCTTCCCGAGTTCGATTCCCGGCCACCAACACCAGTGACGATTCACTGAACAGGTCCCTGTCCTTCCATAAGTCGACTCAGCCTCAATAGAGTAACTAGTGCGATGTGTAAAAAAACATTGCCACTCGGGAGACAAAGGCGGTCGGGCGTGGTGCTGGCCACCCACCCTCTCGTGTGCCATCCCGGCCTTCATAGAAGTTATCTTACAGCACTGCTCCAGCAGTCTGTTATGGCTATCGGAGGGATGCGTGTGTGCGCGTGCGTGTGTATGTGCACGCGCGCGTGTGTCTGCGTATTACTGGAGGCAATATGATCGTCCTTAGGTTAATGATGTTTATTCTGGAAAGTAATATTATCCGAATGGGAGTTAGGAAGTATGATGATGAATATGGTGATCGGCCAAGTTATCTGTATTGGTAAAAAAAAATAACAACTCGATAATATAAATGGTTATGAAGAAAGCCCATTTCTCGGAACGTCGCCTATTGCGCAGGCTGTTCCAAAAATCAGGGCAAATAGGGTTATTTCATTTACTTTAACACCGGCATTACAACATTTCAATGATTTATTCTTGAAGTTAACATTTTAAATATTGCCACGATTCATATTTATGTTTATTTTTTCTTCCAGGGGGTCATCTCAAATTCGTCGGTAACAAACCTCGAGCAAGAACCCTGTGATTGTGAATGAATTGAGACGAAACAAAATTGATGAATATTTACAGATTCGACCTGTAATATTTTTGTAAAAAAAATAAAAGTTCTGAATTTAACTCAGAAGATAATTCTAGCGTGCATTAATGTGACTGTAAGTCAGTTTGAATATTTGTTAAAATGCATTAATATCCTGACCTTTGGGCCGCCCTGTATATTTTCTCTTTCACAGCAGTGGTTTTATTTTACGAATGTGTTCATTTGTTGCCGTTGTTTGTTGCGTCGTGTCAATCCTGATCGTGCAACCGCCGCCAAACGCAGCAGCACCATCGCCACCGGATGCTTCCTTGCCGAGACGAATTTTTTGCAGCCACGGGTTAACGATTTCAAACTCCACAATGGTCCGGCGCGGGCATCAGTACCAACCCGTAAGGTCACAAGGTGCGTTGAGTTTGCGATACGAAAGAAGGGGCGGGGGAGGGAAGGGCTTGGGGTGGGGGGGGGGTGCCGCTCAACTTTGTTAGCGAGACACGGAGATAATGAAGAAATGACCAGCGAGGAAGTCAGGGCGTTGCTCTAATCGGAAATAAAACTTCAATTTGGGAGCGGGCGGGGGGGGGGGAGATATTTTGGGACCCACTTAAAGTGAGGGGGGCATGAGGCGGGGCAAGGGGGGGGGTCTCAAATAGGCACCGCTTCCTTGCGTGGCACTCGGATGCTGATGGAAGCGCGTGGCCGCCCATTCACTCACTCGCGACGCGTCGTGATACAAAAACAAAGGCGATCGGGAAAAGGTTGGAGGCGGTGGGTGGGGGGGTGCATTGGGTGGGACGCGTGTTGCAGGATGAAGGACGGATGGGGTAAGCCACTTGAAGATTGTGGACAGGAAGGTGGCAGCGCCGTGTTGTGGGCGCAATTAGGAAGCGGAGGTCGTGATGAGGGCGGCACGCGTCACGCAGGATGCAGGAGGATTGGTGGGGGGGGGGGGGGTAAACCAATTTTGGTGAAGTATGGTCAAGTAACCCCCTCGGCCCGCACGGCGTGGGGCGGCCCTCGTGCGTGATCCACCAACCCCTTGCCTCCAAAGCGCTCTATCACGGCCACCGCACGCCCCTAACCTCCCTCCCTCACTGCCCCCCCTCCCGCCCGCGTCGCTCCCAGGGGACCCGCAAAGGGGGAGGCTAGGGGGGGTCCACTCGGTGCTGCCTCCCTCGCACCTGCAACCCCCTGGAGTGGACTCCTTAATGGGGCTAATTGCCCCCAAAACCCAATTACAGTCCCATCGTCCACTTACTCAGCCGTCGCGGCTCTAGCGCGGGGGAGGGGAGCGGCTTCAGGGTCCGGGGCTCTGGGTTTGGGGATGGAGTCGAGGAGTTTGAGCGAGATCTGCCCCGTGGCGACTCGGGGCCCCCCGATATATCGACCCCTACCCCCACTCCCTCCCTCCTACCCCTCCCCCCCCCCCCTAAATCCACCACCACGTCAGCCCCAGCCCCTCCACCCCCTCCCCTGTCCATCTCCCGAACCCCATCCACTGCCTCGTCCATCCCACAAATGACCCTCCACACCACCACCGGCTTTTGGCTGAACAAAGGCCGTCACCGCTTCGTCGCGCATTCGCACGCGCTTCCGGGGACGTCTGGAACGCTCTTCCTTCCGATATTGGAAGCCCACTGGAGCTATGCACTTTTAGATTATCTAGATTGAAAAGGCGTTTCTTTATAACTGATTTTTGTGTTGAATTTGTTGTCTTTCCCCCGCAACTCCGATGAGCGCGTTTGGTTGCGTACGGTGCGAAAGAAGTTCAACATACATACTACTGCCATAGACTAACACTATCCATAGACTCAACATTGCACCTTCAATTAGCACGGTTTGCTACGTAGGGTGCGGAAAAAGTTAAACATACATACGTGTACCCCCTCCACCCAGCCTCTTGCTCCCTCCCAACACTCCAACTCATCGTCCTCACACCCTTCACTCATCCACCACCGAAACCTCCACTCGCCATGCCAACCTCACCACCCCCCCCCCCATCTTCCACCCCCTCTACCCCCCTAACCAATTCACCCCGACGGCCCCCCCCGGCCTCTCACACGTGTCCCTGCTGCCCAGTGCACGTGCCAGGTTGCCCCAATGTTGTGGCACGAGGTTGGACTCGTTGGAAAACGACGTTGGCCCAACGTTCCACGTTTGCTGGCTAACCTTTCACTCCGCTAACTCTCCACGTGGTTAGCCGTTCCCCGGTCCGTCTTTGTCTCCCGTGCAAGTCTCTGTGGCGACGGCGGCGGGGGGGGGGGGGAATTGAGATCCTTTGAACGGGAACTGAGTTCCTAAACAAAACAAAACCCCAGCAGAGGGAGAGATCCCACGAGAGAGAAGAGAAGGAGCGAGACCCCAAGAGACCCCTTGGGGGAGGGGGGGGGGCAACCTGCTAGACCCTGACCATTGCAGTCGCCACTTGCCAGGC